GGCCTGAGCGCCCAGCGCCCTCCCGCGGGGCCGTCCTTCAGTCCGTGCATTCCGCGGGTGCACGGACCGTGTGCCTCTCAGCTCCCCGACGCTTGGTGCTTCTACCTATCCAGCCTCCCTTGGCCGAATTGCTGGGGAGCCCGGCGTCAGGGGGCGCCAAGGAGCCAGGGGGAAATCCGTAAGGCGCTGAGGGAGCCTCCAGGCGGTGCTACCCCCAACCTCCCACCTCCCTGCGCTCCGCCCCGAGGTTGGGGCTTTGGAAGATGCAGCCGGGTGAGCTATTGCTTGCAGGGGGGTTCCTCGCACGCTTAAGCGTGAACGCCGGGCAGGGCCTTCCTGGGAATGGGGGTCCTCCAGGAACGGGAGGCCCACCCATCCAAGCGCCTCTGAACTGGAGCGCTCTCCAATAGAACGCTCAGATCTGCAGACGTGAACTGTTCCACCCCCAAACTTGGTGCTATTTCGCAGCCGAGAAATGGGCTCTTTAGGTTCTCTTGTATCCATGCGTTTACCGTAAAAGGTGACTCGTTTAGCGCATTTAGAGGGAGAGGCAATTTCAGATTTAGAGAACTGGCAAATGAATTGGCTGGAAAATATTTTGAGAAGAAAATGTTTTCGGGGGTGTGAGGAAATAATGATCTGTCACACTTAAAATGCACACACTCCCTTATCCCTCCCTCTTGCCCCCTCCCATTTCTTCATAACCAGCAAAAATTGTATTGTAGTTGATGGTCGGGAGATTTTACAGTGGTCGCTGGTGCAATGCCAACGCAGAAGGTATGGCGGGAGAGCTGCAGTGCGCCTTTCTGTGGATGGCCACCGCCACCTGGCAAAGAAGCCGCTGCTGCCGCAGTCTGCAGCATCTTGTGGCCTTGGCCCGTCGGCCAGGTGCGGTACTGTGTTATGCTGTTCCCAAAGCAATGCTGTGTGGGGCTGTTTTTGTTCGTTTTGTTTTATTTACTCGCATAAGGAAACAAATTATAATGGCAAGGTAGCACATTACTGCATTTGTGGAGTTTCTAATAACTACTAAGGTAGACTCTGAAATATTTAAGAGACCGAAGAAATGGTGTCATGAAAACGTCACGTGAAATTCTGAAAAAGAATCCATGACAATACTTAAGTTTTATTATTTACTTGAAGGATCCTCAAATTAGTGATGTTTTTTAACGATACAAAATCAACTGCACAGCTCTGCATAAAAGCTTAACTACTGATGGTCTTAACGACCTTTAACATATTACCATGTGTAAGCATTAAAGGAAACTCAAAAAGCATTGCCTAATGCATTTCTCAAATGCCAGGTTCATAAACATGGGAAACAATGGATTAAGTTTTCTAATGTACAGCTTGTTTCCTAAAACAAAACATTCGAGTTGTTGACATGTTGCGTCTCATTCAGTCATGAGTTGAAGGTGGAAAGATCTTCCTTGCAGATGCTGTATAAAGTAGGATATCAGAGTGTAGGCTGCACTGCAAGTCGGGAGAGGCTTCCCAGGTCCCTAGCACTCGGGGGCTGGTGAGAAGCACTGTATCATTTGCCCATTGCTTAAAGGTTTCCCAATACCACAGGGCCCTGAAGTGAGAGACTGTATTCCTGTCCACTGTGCAGGGGTTATTGGTGAGAATCCTGAGAGCCTGCAATGTGTGGCACAGCAGGAAAAGAAGAATTCTTAGTGCATCTACTCACAGTGGCCTAGTGGAGTAATTTAAAACAACAACACTGAATTAACCTTCTGCAAACATTGGGAGAAATAACTAACAGAATTTAGGAAGGTCATCTTTACTTTATATTTCTCACTGACTAAAATTTGTGAGTGAGTGGAAATGGTCTAAATATCCTTGAAACATGTCTAAGACCACAAACACAGCATAGTAACCAATTTACCCCAAACTCTACATTTTTAACAAAAAGCAACAAAATAGCAATTATGGGTTTCTGAGCAATTACTTTAGCACAATTGTTATCATCCTGAGTCTTACTGCAGCCATTTATAAGTTTCAAGTGCACACAAGAACATCGTTTATCTCTCTTGGCCAGCAAATGCTTAACTGCCATGCAGTAGGATTATAGATATTTATATTTAGATGCATTCATTTCTGTTCTTTCAATCGGTTATCTCAAGGATATGAATAAGCAAACCTGATCATTGAATGAATTTAGTATTTAGGATCCATTATTATTTTCTGATTTGTTTGTTGATAATTTATCATTTCCTTTTCCAAATAATGGCACGTTATTAATCGCTTCTTTCTGTGTATTTCTGTGATGCCTAATGCATTGTGGAATTCAATAAATATTAAATCAGCCAATCAATCCTTTTTGGAAGTTAATTTAGTAGAATTCATACATCATTTTCCTGGTAGATTTTCATTTAAAAAGAATAATTGACATTGTATCAAAGTTACAAAAATTTTAAGTTTGGGGTTAGGAGTGGAGGAAGTAGGCTTTTGGCCAAATCTTCACACCAAGAAATGAAAAATCAAAATGGAAATGTATATATAATTTTTTTTACTTTCTATCATAGTGAGTTAGCACTGTCACCCAATAGAAGCCAAATGAGTTCAGGAGAATAGTTAAGAGAGTTTTGTATCGAGTATGTAGAAGATGATCCATCATGCAGCCCTTCTTTCTTTTGGATTCTCAACTAAATTGAGAACACACACAAAGAACCAAAAGGAAATTAAAAATATTAACTTTACTCAGGTAAAGTGAGATTGCAGAATATGGCTTAGACCCAAGGCCAAAATGAGGCATTTTATTCCTTTTCCCCTGACTCAGCATGTCCCTCTCCCCAGTCATAACTGAAGAACTACAGTTGACCTTTTAAAAACATGGGTTTGAACTGCATAGGTCCACTTACACACAGACTTTTTTAATACTGTAAATGTATTTAATGATTTTTAAGTACTTTATCTTACTTTACAGTAAGAATATAATATATAATACATCTAACATACATAATATGAGTTAATCAATTATTTGTTATCAGTAATGCTTCCAGTCAATAGTAGGCTATTAGTGCTTAAGTTTTGGGGAATTCAAAAGTTATATGTGGATTTTTTACTGTATAGGGAGTTGGTGCCCAAAGTCTTGTGTTGTTTAAGGGTCAACTCTATAGTCCTTCTCAGACAGAGCAGGAAGCAACCCTACCTGTACTCCCTCTTACCTGGAGACCAAAGCCTAAGAGCCTGAAACTGTCTAATCCACAAGGCATTCTGCATGAGTGAGCAAGAGGTAGGACCATGTGTAAGAAGGGACCTTTTATATTTCAGCCCATTAATGGCTGGCAGGCTCTCCCCAGTTTACCTCATTATGAAGTCATTCCACCTCCCAAAGATAAGAGTAAGGAGCTTTAATAAAATGGAGAAATATCTGTAGGACTTCCCTTTGAGGTAGGTTGGACGTTGTGGCACAAATACCTAATTTATAGATCAGGAAGAAGAAAAGTCTCCACCCTAAGCTGTGTAATGACCAATTAAAAGAAAGGGAGAAATTGCAGATGACTCGAGTTTTGAACTAGGAGAAACAGTTTTGCAGGAGAAGATGACAAACAGTTTTAGACCCACTGAGATGGAGATGTCAGGACATCCATTTGAAATTATCCAGTAAGCCCATGGAAATATGGGTGGAGAGGTCAGAACCAGAGACAGGCGTCATCAACATAAATTATAGTTGAAGTCATAGGAATGGAGGAAATGACTAAGGAAGAGAAACTGAAAAAGAATTAGAATCAGAAGTTTGGAGACAGCTTCCAGTTGTGGACTGGAAAAGGAAAACAGAAGGCAAGACCATGGAAGCCTAGTGAGCAGTGTTCCAGTTTAGTGGCTTACTACAACAAATGCACAAATTGGAGGTTAAAGAGGGTGAGGACTGCATACTGGTGACTAGGAGACCTTTGGAAAGATTCCAGAGAATTGATTTGTTGTAGTGGAAGAGGCGAAAGCCAGACTAATGGTTTGAAGAGGGTAAAGTAGATGAAAAAGAGGAGAGGCGCGGTCCACAATCTTTGGAGTTTAAAAGGGATGAGGAGAAATGCAATTTAAAGCCTGAATAGAGGCCAATAAAGGTCCTTTTGTCAGAATAGGAGTACTCGAATAAGTTCCGTGGAACTTGGTAGAGGGAACCAGCAGTGGGAGAGAAATTAAGAGATGAAGAAAGGGGCAAAGAAGACATTCTCCTGGGCATTTGTGGTTTAGCTATTTGTTTTAACTCATCTTAATGTCCCCCAGACTGGTTCTTTTCTGCTCTCAGGCTGCTTTTGACTTTTCAGAGTTAAAACTGACCCTAACTAGTTATGATGACTCCCTGCCCATGGTCTCCTCTCCACTCGCCCTGGTTACTAATACTCAGATTAGAAGAATGATTTGGGGGAAAAGATAAGGAAAACCTTGGAGTATATCCCAGGTTGTCTGTAAGCGTTTATTACAAGCCTATATGGAAGTGAGTGAATTACCCAACTGGTAATCATGCAAGGACATTACATTGAAATATTACCCCCTTGCAAACAGAAAGTTTAGGTACAAATGGTTCTAGCAATAAATTATTAGAAATAAGTCATACTGATTTTGGACTGGTAACCTAGTTATTCCTAGGTGACATTTTTTATTCTCAGAATTAAATAGCATAAAAGGAATTAAGAGGAATCTGAGGAAATGTATTCTATGGCCTGTTTATTCCCAAGTGGTTTTCCATGACAGTTTGAGACCAGGACCTGTGTCAACAATATACATGTTCTTGGATTGAAAGGTAAAGGAACTACATCATGTAGAAGAACCTGCATCATCTAATGTAATCTTAGAGGCAATTTCCAACCACCAGAATCAAGGGAGCCATCATGTGGATGGATCACTATTGTGTTTTTAAATTTTTATTTTTTGAAGGAAAAACAGTTGTTATTTGCAGTAATATCAAATATTATTTTCAGCAAATATTCCCTGGGAAAGGACTTCATATTCGTTTTTCCATAATAAAAATATTTTATTTTCATAAGAAATATTTTATAAGAAAATATTTTAAATGGAATCATTCCAAATTGTTCTTTTAACCATTTAGAAATTTTAGAGCCTAATTTAGGATTTGTTATCCTATGGGTTGTAGAATCTATGATAGTGCTGTGGGAAGAATGTTATGTGGTTTTTTGGTGGGGATTTTGTGAGCATTACTTCTCAAAAACAAGTTTGAGAGTTTAAAATATCAATATAATTGAATTCATATACTCTATAATGCTTTGCAGACGGTTTTTAGAAAGTAGTCATTTATTATCTACAAG